CCATGAGCAAAGCTAGTATAATATATTAAAGTTTACAAGTAAAGTTATTATTTTGTTTAATCTAAGTTTCAAAAGTTCATAGTTAAAGTTAGGCAGTATTTTGCAATTTCAGTTATGAAAACAAAAAGAGTTTATAAATTTGTGTTATCTTAAATTAGATATGTTTAAAATTCTGTTCAGAAAATATAAATTTTACTATTAAACCTTCGATTTGTTTTGTACATGCATGTAATAGAGATTAATAACTCTGAAAAATTATTAGTTTAATTTATGCCAGATTATGAAATAAATTATGTAGTTTAGTTGTTGGGAGAAACAAAGAATAAGAAAAAAGTAATGGTAGATTAAATAAAAGCAGAGTTTCTTTCATTATCTATTTTTTTAATTGCTTTAAGCAAAACAGTTGCATAATTTCGGTCCTGGATCTTAATTCACTTTTCTCTGCTTTGTTTGATTTCAACAAATGATACTGGTAAAAAAGATGTGTCAAATATTAAGAAGTTTTTTATCAAATTACGGTAAAAATTGCCGATACTTAAGATACCGGTACTTTTTACCGAGAAATTTCTACTGGAATATGTTACGGAACAAAAGCCTGATATACCGTAACTTTTAAGGAAATAGTTACCGTAAAAACTCTGAATCACTCTAACGGAATAAATAGTACTGTAAAAACTACGTTATAATATTTAACGGTAAAAAGAGATTTCACATTAAAATGAATTTTACGGATGATGCATTCTAAGTACCGCACTTAATACCGCAATTTAAATCCTGAATTTTTCAGGGTACCTGCACGTTGTACCTACTATAAGTCCTCCCATCGCAACGGAGGTATGTATACCATAATGAACATGAATGCCATATTTCTTAAAAATAAATAATAATTGCTCTCTCAATTTTCATACTTCATTTTTTTTAAAAAAAGCGTTGCCGTGAAGACGCTAATAGGAAAATTCAGATGATTAAGTTAAAATTGTGATGTAAGAATAATTTATAATTTACATGAATAATTCGTAAAAGATATAATATTTTATGAAGAATTTAAATTATCATTAATTTCTTGAAAAACAGTTAAATTAAGACTGGATATTTTTAATAGTTTTAGTAGTGCCTTAACTTAGCATTGATGAAACTTAGAAAACGAAAAATATACGATGTAAATGGAAAATTAAAGATTGATTAAAATTTGTCAAAACTGCCACAAAGTTTTGTTTTATCTTCTTATCGTGATTTAAAATATTAATGAACTATAAATCAATAAAATAGTCACGACTTCAGTCTGTACTAGTTTTTTTAATAAAAAAATACGCAATATTAAATAAAAAAACTTCAATTTGGTTTAAGTAGGTCAAAACTGTAATAATATTTTGTCTTTCTTTTAAAATATGATAAAAATGATTGCGTTCAGTTACAAATGGTGCAAAAATAAAATTGCATTGTTGCATAATGCATAAACTATTTCTCTTTCACTGGTCTCTGAAATGACATCATAAAATGAATTGTACATAAATTATCGTTGTTGGCAAAGCCTGGAGCAATACAATGGTGTCAAACTAAATTACTTACCTTCAAGCAGATGGGCATTCCCTTTGCTTGTCCTCCATTAAATTACATCCATAATGACATATATGTGCCAAATGCAACATTTTGTCACTATTAAATAGAGATGTTTCGCCAAGAAGCTTACTTTATCTAAAAGAGGAGGCTTTAGAAGTAAATGAATTGAAAATGTATGTCTGTTGGCTGAAGCTTCAAAATAAATTTCCTTGCACAACAGAATTGATATGTGCTAGAGTGCCAAATATTTAACATATTTTTTTGATAGAAATGTGAAATGAATATTTGTTGAATAATAATTATGTGGAGTAATAATTATAACACAATATAAATTTCAGTTAAGTGGTGTTTCTCAATTAGATATAATTTTTAGAATCATTTAGAATATCACTTTAGAATCACTTAGATCATCATTTCAAAAATGATTTTAGAATAATTTAAAATATCATTTGAGAATAATTTAGAATATCGTTTTAGAGTATTTTAGAATATCATATTAGAATCATTAAGAATATAACTTTAGAATCACTTAGATCATCATTTTAAAAATGATTTTAGAATAATTTAGAATATCATTTTAGAACATCATTTTAGAATCATTTAGAATATCACTTTAGAATCACTTATATCATCATTTTAAATATGATTTTAGAATAATTTAGAATATGATTTTAGAGTATTTTAGAATATCATTTTAGAATCATTTAGAATATCATTTTAGAATCATTTAGAATATTATTTTGGACTCATTTAGAATATCATTTCTGAATAATTTAGAATATCATTTTAGATTCTTCAACTGATATTTTTAGAATAAGTTGATATATTCATTGTTGTTTCACGAGTCATATGAAATAGTGTTTGGATTTCTAATTATTGTAAAAACACAAAAATATAAAATAAAATTAAAGTGTAATAGATACACGGAATTTGAATATATACAAGTAAGATACACTGCATTAGATACACTGAATATGAATACACTGATACACTTCATGTAATACAATAAACAATCTGTTATAAAATATCATTATATCATCAAATTTATATGGCAACAAGTTAAAATGTACATCTATTTTTAAGACTGATAAATTGTATTAAATGGTGAAATTATATGGAATTAAGGAGACAAAATTACTTAATTTTGATCTACAAAATCAAACAATTTTTTATAAATGTTTCGGAAATTAAGAATTGCACGCAAATTTCGCTTGCAAGTTTGATAGGAATAACCTTTTAACTACCTTATTAATCATTTTAAGGCACTGAAAAGTAATCACAATTAAAAATAGTTAATGGATTTAAGTGATTCTAACTCGTTTAAATGTAAAATATTGTGCATTTGAAAATAAACATATAGATGAGTGCAAATTACTCAAAGCAATAGTGTGTAGGGTTGCAGATTGTATTAAAAAGTGGACTATCGATACTGCAAAAACAGATGGTAAATGATAGGCGTTATTAATTGTTTAATCAAAACTTACATGCAAGTTTGTGACAAATATAGCTTTTTTAAATAAATCATTTTAAGACATAAAATAAAAAACGGACAATAAATATGAAATTTCAAAATATTCTTTATTTAAGTAATGAACTATACAAATAAGATATAAAAATACATTTCAAAATGTCTTATATTTATGCAACAGATAAATAAATTGTTAATTCTTTCTTCTTCATCATTAGTTATCATTTTTGTCTCCAAGTCGTTTAGTTATAATGTTGTCTTGGTACAGATATTTGAAAGACTTGAGAGTGTCTAAAGTTAATCCATCCCGATTTCTTTTCAAATCTTAATTTCTTTTCTTTTTTGATTTTCTGAGTTTGTTTTTCATTATTTACCAAAAATTCTATTTTAGTTTAAGGTTGAAATAGTGTTATAAAATAAGTTTTTTTTTCTTTAATATTTATTCCATTATCATCCAGCCATTTTGCGTTTGTCTTGAACTTAAAGGTTTAGCATTATCTTGTTATGATAAAAAGCCGTTATGGTAATGTATTCATATAGTGAAAATGTTTATATTAGTGATATCAATACAGTATAAACGACTTAACAGTTACTATTTCAATAACAGAAAATCACATTTTACCACTGTACCCAAAACATTAACTTAAAATAATGACTGGGTAAAGATTTAGTGCATTTATATTTGCACAAAACAGCAAATTAGTTGAAAAATGATTACTTCAAAAATCTAAACATTTTCAAAATTCCTCAATAAGTTTTTTAGTCCATTTAACATAAACAGCTTTTCATTTAGACGTTAAAAGAAGCACTGAACAATTAGCACTTTCGAACAATCATAAAGATCAATCATAAATTCAAGTATCATAAAGAAAACCACTTTTTTTACCGGGGTGTGGCCTTTTTACTTTCAACTTCTGCAAATTGTTCAAAACTCAGATTATTTTTCATGCTAAGCATTATATTCAACGCTTATAATTTACTGAGGAGTCCTTCTGGTCTTCTTTGAGAAACTTCATTATTTTTTAGATGTCTTTTCATACAAAAAATTGCATCTTTCCAAACATTTCCATCAGTTTTTGGATGCCATGATTACGCATCTTTTTAAAGTTTTAAGTTTATTTCCAACTCTTTTTTGCTCGACTATAATTCTTGACTCATATCAAATTTTTAAAGTGATATATATTTCTAAATAAATTTTTTTTGGTTTGTATGGAATTATTGTGTTTGGTAATTTAATTCCATTTTAGCGTCTTTTATATTGAAAATAATACTTTGACAAAAATAACCGAAATGCGTACTTTATTAAGCACGGTATACAGTTCTTAGTCCTTACAGCTCTTTCGAATATGCACTTACATTTGAAAATCAGTTTCCTGACGTATAGAATAAAGAATCTAGGTAAAACGTCACAGTGACATTTAAAACGAGAACCAGTCAGCCACCATTTTCCAAAAAATTTTCCAGTTATTTTTTCGATAGGAGTGTCTTTTTCCTTTTTTCTACAAAAAAGAAATTCGTCATCTTATGTTCCCCTATGTAATCTAAACTTAAGCGTTCAGAAAGGTAATGCTATTTTATGCTTATTTCCGATGATTCTGTTCTGCTTTAGCAAAAGAACGCCCCTTTCTTCTCCATAAAATATTAAACACCGCCTTACGACTATATAAATATATAACTGTGCATTATTATGGAACCAGTGTAACCTTAATTGATATGCATAAGTAAAATTAAAATAAAATTCAGTTTGTTTGTTCCCATTAAAAATTACTTTTAACTTACCATTAAAAACAACTTTTTACTGCTCAGATTATAACAATTTTCATTCAGCTTTCTGCTGATGATGCGAAAATTGAAACTTCATCAGTTTTGTTACAACAAACGTATTTTATTTTCCCTTAAGATCGGTATGTTATGAAGAACTTGAGTTTTGATTTTTAAAGCGAATGTTAATTGAGCATTTAATATCTTTCAGACTTAGAACATGAACGCAGACAACTACATGAAGTGATTTTACCACAGCTTCAGAAAGACTGTTCTGCCTTGGGTGTAGATATTCAGTTAGTGGACATTCAAAGTGGCGAAGACGAGGATGCAATCCTTGAGCCAACAGCTATAGCTCAGCATTTAGAAGAAATAGAAGATTGCTGTAAGACATCTCTTGGTTGTTTCTTTATGGTGAGTATTCTAAATACTTAAAACTTGTTCTTATATATCCAGTCAATACAGTAGTGCTTGACACTTACATAAGCGACACTTCAATTTAGCACTAGAAACGGCGTTGGGGTCATTTTGAACTTTTCTGCCATTTATGTTGTTTTTGAAGATACATGTGAGCTTCGAAACTTATATTTTATTATGCGTCAAATTTTCATGTGTTTTTGTTTATTAAAATAAATAATCATAGGAATATCTAAAAAAAGCCAAAATGAGTCATTTTGACCCTTTTAAGAAAAACTTACATTTTTGAAGTTTTTGCCTTTGATTTTGCAAAGCTGGAGAAAAGGATTTATAGAGCAGAAATATCGGGATTCACTGTGTTTTGAATAATATTGCACAATAGCTTACGTTAAATTATATGATTCCTTAGATTCTATGTTCGAAGTAGCTTAATTGAGCTGTAATTGAATTACAAATTCGTTATTGCGTCTGAAAGAATCCATGCATATCCTGGTTATAAATAGTTATTTTTGTTATACTACTGGTCAGGAAAGAACTGTTGGCGAGTCCTAAGTAGATTCCAAATATTTTTAATAATAATATATATTAAAATACATCCTTATAGTATATGTAAAGTTAACATGTAATATTTCTCAAATTGTTAACAAAGAAAGTATGATCTGTTTAAAATAATTAAATTTAGTTCAACTACAATTGTATAAAAGATACATTATGCTGTGACTAGATTAGATGAAGATTTTAATTAGTTGAGAAAGATATTTTTTAAAGTTCTCAGAAAAAAATATGTCTAAGGTTTGTTAGCATTTCTTATTTCTCATTTTTTTAAACACAAAAATTCAAAAATTCGCTAAAGTTTTTTCTCCATTTATTCCAGTCAAATTTAGAATTATTCAAATAAAATACAATTCTATAATTATTTAAATATTTAAAACAATTGTGTTATTTATATAGAGTGAATGTAATATAATAACACTGATTATATTTAATTATATGCAATGAAAGACATTTTTTAATAATTATTTCCTTAATATCAATTTCATTAAATCTTTGAGAAATAAATTGCTATTAAATTCTATTATTTAAACCACAGTCAGACGGGAAAAAAACACATAGCACTAAAAAATTTATAAAACAATGTATGAAATATTGTTAAATAAGTTATCAAATCGGCTTGCGTATTTGGATTGTATTGATAAAAGTTAACACAAAGAAATGCATATATATAAAGAAAATTAAGTATTGAGAATTAGTTATTTATTCATAAAGAATAAGTTCGCAATTAATTTCGATTAAAATTTAAATATATTATTTTAAGAAATAATTTCAGATTTGTGATAAATAAATTTTAAACATACATTTTCCGAGATACATGTTATCGAGATTGCTGTTACTCCAAGTCAGAAAAGTCTATTATTTCTTTTTAACCGAGTTTAAAAATGATCTCAAAGGAACGATCTAAACAGGAGAATATAGTACGAGGGTTGCTATTTATATTTCTGGCCTAATAATGGAAAAACAAATATGTAGGATCGAAATTGGTTTTATTGTTTTTCAAACTATTCTCCATGATGATCAATACACTTTTGCATGCGTTTGAACCAATTTTCAAAGCACTTTTTCCAGTCCGATTGAGGTAACTCCAAAACATGCGTTTTGAATGCATCAACCGCTTCTTCGGGGGTCGAAAATCGTTGTCCACGTAATTTATTTTTGATGTGTGGGAATAAGAAGAAGTCATTGGGTGCCAAATCAGGGCTGTACGGCGGATGACCCATCAGTTCGATCTTTCGCTCCGTCAGAAATGCCTTTGTTTGAGTCGATGTGTGAGAGCTCGCATTGTCATGATGAAGAATGATTCGCCTGTTCTTCTGCTTTTTTCGAATTTCTCCGATGACTTCTGGCAAACAAATGGTCGTGTACCATTCAGAATTGACCGTCCTGCGTTGCTCTAACGCCACTGTTGCCACATGACCGTTAATGCCGAAGAAACAGGCAATCATTTGTTTCGATGTGCTTCTTCCTCGAACAACTTTTGTTGGTTTTGCCTCGTCTTGGAAGACCCATACAGTTGATTGCTGTTTTGTTTCCGGCTCATATGCATAGATCCATGATTCGTCACCTGTGTAGATGTTATACACAGCCTTTGATGTACCTTGAACGTATTTTTCCAACATTTCCTTGCACCAATCGACACGAGCCTTTTTTTGAGCGTTTGTCAGATTATGCGGGATCCAACGCGAACAAATTTTTTTTACGCTCAAATGTTCATGCAATATTTTATTGATGCTAGTCATACTAATGTCCAAAGACGCCTCTATCTCACGGTATGTCACATGACGATCTTGCTTTATCAGTTCACGCACAGCATCGATCTTTTCTGGCACAACAACGGATTTTGGACGACCTGCACGGGATTCGTCCTGGATCGAACATCGACCACGATTAAATTCGTTATACCAATTTTTTACAGTGCTGTAGGATGGCGCTTTATCGCTGAATAAAGAATTAAGTTCATCGAAGCACTCTTGTCTTGACAATCCACGTCGAAAGTTATGAAAAATAATGGCACGAAAATGTTCACGATTCAATTCCATTTTTTGAAAGAGAAGAACTTTTCAATTTACTGTCAACAACACAAATGAAGCTATAATGGTAAATCGTCTGCTGAATTTATGTTTAAAAATATCAAACTTTTGATTAAAATCGTCTGCGGTCGCCTAGCAACACTTACTGTTGCCAAGGCCAGAAATATAAATAGCAACCCTCGTACTTTAGACAACAGGTAGTTGCTGAAAAAGTATATAAATCAATTTGATTAAAAGCCTATAGTAGTTACAGAAAGTATTACTATTTTTACGGTGGATGTTTGTCAATTTTATATTTTGAGCTAGTCCAAGATATCAAAAACAGTTGCTCCGGCTTATCATTTAGTATAAATACGAAAAATGCCTGTGCTAAAAAAATTTTTTATGATCTTATGAAATCTATAAATTTTAGAAATGCTTCAATGGAATAAAATTTGGTATAAAGTTTATGATCTGCTTTAGCTTTGTAAACGTCATTATAAACAAAATTAGGTTGCATAATTATTCCTTTTCAATCATCTAATGAAAGTCCAGAAAACTTGATCTCAAAATGAGTGTTATACAAGTTGAATATCCAATGAGGTAAGGTATATGTTGTGTGCATCAATATCCCTTACTTCAGAAAAAAATTCCTAAATTGTATGATAGAATTCGTTTACAAAAAGTCTATGTTAATAAACAAAGATTCAGAGTATTTTTCACAAAATTTCTTAGCCGTTTGCATACGGTTATTTTGAATTTTTTTATCACTGTGTATTGAATTAAGCTTTATTAAGCTACTTAATTATGTTATTGGTAATATTTTAGAAATAATATATATTACAGTATTGAAATTTTGTTTAAAATAATATGTTTTTTTGAAGAACAACTAATATTTTTACTATCCTCTAATCTATTTGCTGATTTAGAATAAAATATTTTTTAAATATTATTTGTACACTTTAAGCTACTATTAACTAAAGTAATTTTCCAAAAAAAAGGGAAAGAAAAAAGAAATAGTGACATTAAACCCTAACTTTTAGAAAACAAAATAAATAAGGTTTATAGATATTAAAGTTCATACTCACCGTTCCATTAAAAAAAATAACTTTATTCTTTTTCTCTACTTATTAACAAACAATTGTCACCTTTGTCACTTGCCATAATTTAATTATTATTGTTATTTTTAAGTTGTGCTTATAAATTATATATTCATCTCTTTTTTAATGATATTTATTTGCAGTATTTATTCGTCATCTATTCTTACTATTATTCTCTGTTTTGATTTTTTTTCTAATTTTGATTCGTTTTTATTTTAGTTTTGATCATTATTTAAACTTAAGGCATAAAAATTAAAGTCGTGTTTCTGAATTATAAGGAAATATTATAAAGAAATATTATAATATACTAATACATATTAATCAAAATATTAATAAAAAACTTACATGGTTACCATTTTACATTTATTAGAAGATAAATAACTGTTTTGAAAATTTTTATGTAATTGTCCTTTACAAATAATATAATAAATACAAAATAACTATTTATAATTGCAAAATCAAAGGATTATGGAAATCTGTATGAGAAATTACCTTTTCATATTATTAATATCTTTGGCGAAAGAGAATTTAACCAATTTCTGTAATAATAAAAAAAAAAAATTCTAATTTAAAAAACAAGTTCTTGGGCAATGTTACAATGATAAATGAGCAAAATTATTGATTTTAAATTTCATCACAATAGAATTGGAATAAAATCTTGCTCTGTGGAACAAAAATTAAAAAAAAAATTTTTAAATCTATGATCTAGTTCAATTTTTACTTACATAAAAAGTTTACATGAAGGAAGTAAATCTCGATAAAGCTTTAAAACTCTTTTTTTTCATTTCTTTAGTAGAAAAAAAATTATTTTGTTCTTATACATCCGACGGAAAAAAAAACAGTCATTCATCTCTAAGCACTTAGACGATAGGAAAAAAAACTGACCACAACTTTCTCAACTAATAAATTATCGCATTTTTACTAATGGTCATCAGTGTGTACTTTACTTGCTGACAAAACCCCACAATTAATATCATTGAGCTGGTATTGTGTGTATTCATCAGTCATATTTGAAGCGAACACAATCTTCTCATTATTCTTGAAGGATCATTTATCTTGTTTTGAATTATGGTTTGCAGACGCCATTTTTGTAGAATATGAAGAAGTAAAGTGCTTCTCTGGGATAATATATTTCATTACTACAAAATATGAGGACAAAATACGACAGTTTCTTGAAACATACAGTTCGTTAAAAACAGAATTTCTTCCCAAATATTTGAATTCAGTTGAAAATCATAATTCATCAAAACCGAATTTAAATTGAAAACTGTCATATATATATATATATATGACATATAGCCTATAACTCGTTATATTAAAGAGTGTACAATTT